TTACTAATTCTCTTACATTCTTCCCTAGTTGTTTGTCCAAGCTTCCATTCCTTATAAGATTCCTTTGTGTGATTTAGTTTACTGAAGAGTTCCCTGCTAAGCCAGGCTGGAATTCTGCCATACTTGCTAGTCTTCCTGCGCATTGGGATGATTTGTTCCTGCACTCTCAGTAAGGCTTCTTTAAAGTACGGCCAGCTCTCCTGTATTCCTCTCCCTGTCAGTCTGACTTCCCAGGGGATCCTGCCCATGAGATCCCCACCAGTTCTTCCCTGTTTGTGAGCAGCAGGTCAAGAAGTGTGTGGCCCCTAGTTGGCTGCTCCAGCGCTTGCACCAGGAAGTTCTCCCCAACACTCTCTAAAAACTTCCTAAATGGCCTGCCCTCCCAGCAGATGTCACGGTGATTGAAGTCCTCCATGAGAACCAAGGCCTGTGATCACGAACCTTCCACTAGCTCTTTGAAGAAAGCCTCATCCACAACATCCTCCTGGTCAGATGGTCTATAGCAGACTTCATAGGAGATGCATAGGGGAGACACGGGATGGGGGGGCACATGCCCCCTCTGAGATTGGCCCTCACCAGCTGAGGTGTAGGGGCCAACAGCTGGTTCCCCCCCAAAAATATGGGGGCACTGAGAGAAATGCTGGCAGCACTTCCATTTTGCCACTGGACCCCCTGGTTGGCAATCAGCAGCTGAGGGACATCCCCCCGGTTGGCAATCAGCTGCGGGTACCCCCCCAGGATCAGGAGGCACCAGTCACCCATGGCAGACCACCACCATGACATCACCCTTGTTGCTCTCTCTGACCCTAACCCAGAGACTTTCAACAGGTCTATCTCCATTTTCATACTGGAACTTTGAGCAGTCATATGGCTCTTCTACGTAATGTGCAACTCCTCTTCTTCTCCCCTGCCTATATCATTCCTGAACAGTTTGTACCCATCCATGACAGTGCTCCAGTCATGCAAGCTATCCCACCAAGTCTGTTATTCCAATCACTTCATAGTTCTGTTACTGTGTGAGGACTTTCAATTCTTCCTGCTTGCTTCCCAGACTCCATGAATTCATGTACAGGCACCTAAGGTAACTAGTCGATTGCCCTGATTTCTCAGGAAAAATAAGAATACCATCTCTGCTGCCCCCTCCTGCTTGCTGTTCTTCCAGGTCACCCATTTCCCCACTTACCTCAGGACTTTGGTCTCCAACCCCCAGTGAACCTAGTTTAAAGCCCTTCTCATGCTCATCTAGTCTCTCTCCTCTTGAAGGATCTTCATGTACTTCACAAGTTCATATACCAGGATCACATATAACCAAACATGACACAAATAATCTAATCCATAACTGACATGTAGCCAGCTCTGGCTGAAACACTGGGGGCATAAGTATGGTAAGAAAACCAGGATGGCTGCCCTGGGCAGTGACCCCAGGGTGAGGTACAAACAAAATGGCTGCCAACACAGCTGCATGGTTTTGCCAGTGTCAGCAGCAGCAATTGAAAGTGACCGCTACCCTCATGTGTGGCAGCCATCCCTGGGTAGCTGCCCATGTAGTTATACCTCTGTGAAGCTCCATGGCTGTGCAACAGCAGGCAGAAATAGTCTGCAACAAGTTGGGACACAATGGATATGTCTAGATGAGACACTTACTGCGCAGCAGCTGGTTACTACTGCACAGTAGCTCATTACTAGTGCGTAGTAGCATGGCTGGGCATTAGCTATGATGTAATGCTACTGCGCAGTAGGCCTGCGCACAGCAACTAGTATTCGCTTTCGATTCGGCTGATTCGGGGAACAGTGATTCAATTCAGTGATTCGAATAACTGTCCCAAGTCACTGGTTCCTACCACGCAGGGGGGAGATCCCCGCTGCCCCCCACTGCTCCACACTGCATGGGGGTCTCTACCACAAGCCCCCAAAGGCCTCAATGCCTGCTGCAACAGCCAGTGAGTGCAGGGCTTTATTTCTTTTCTTTCTTTCTTTAAGTGCCAGGATGCTGGGGCTGGGAAGGGTAGCCATTGACCAGGCTGGGAGAGTGGGCGGGAGCAGGCAGGGGATGCAGCCTGGCAGAGGTCCCCCCGTGGTCTCCTCCCTCCTCCTCCTCAAGCCCCCACTTTACCCCTCTACTTACCAGCACTGAGCCCAGGTCCAGTTCCCTGCGCCGGCAAGTGGGGACTGCCCGAATATTTGAATCTTTGAATTAATTCAGAGGGTTCCAATCGATTCAGACCTTTTAACTGGTCTCCCAATTCAATTCAGATTCAAAGGTTTGGCCGCTGAATCGGGCCAAATCTCCTCCGAATTGAATCAGCAACCAAAGCTTCAAACAGCCCTACTGCACAGTAGTAATGAGTTCTTGCACAATAGTAATGAGGTTATAACCAGGCAACCATGCCAGGACACTACTGCTTAATAATACCGGTTACTGCGCAGTCATTTAGTGCTTGGTTATGCAAGTATTAAATGACTGCACAGTAACAACTGTGCAGTGAGCATCTCATGTAGATGCACCCAATGAGAAAAACCTATCAAACTCAGTTCTTTAACTACAGAATGAAAACACTGTCTATCAAGTAAAAATGATGACTGTATATCTCCATGAGGTGGCATTGGACTTTATCTCAGTGTAATATTAGGGAGTCACTTACTTTCTCAGCAGCATCTGTGCTGCTGTTTCCAGAAGGGACAGGAGGTGCTGGTACAAGATAAACTATCACCGTGCCAGAAGTTCATGGGTTGCAAAACCAAATTATGATCCTCTCAACCATTCTGGACTTGAGGCACCCCTCAAAAAATGCCAGCTCTTAGTTTTCACTTGTTTTTGAGTACAGAAAAGCAATAAAACCATTCTTCTGTTGCAAAAAACTCAAAAATACTACAAGTCAGAACAGCCTTAACATTATGTAGTCTTCTTTGAAATCTCTAGTTTTATTTTTGAAGTATGTTTTCTCATCTAACAGCACTAACAGTACATTTTATCCAGTCATTCTTGCATATCTTCACTTCTACACCCCTCCATCTCTTTTCTATAGCATTTTCAGCTGTTCATGGTCTCCTAACTCAATAACATCTGCATTAAATAAATCACTGAAATAAAACCAACTTTTTCTTCATATTAGTAAAGAACTACTGTAGTTATATTTTATGATAGAGTAAAACAAAACTAATAACCAAATAACCACCAACAGCATTAGCAAATACAGTAAAATGACATTAGTTGGCACAAACATGGCCTAGAAGATTAGGGGAAATAAAAGCTGCTCACCTTCAGGTCTGGGGTATATGTAGATTGGGCTACATGACAAAATGAGGCTTGCTGAACAGCAGCTATCAGAGCATTTTTTTGAGCGACTTGACAAGCAAGGACGATCTGCATGTTTTGCACTCCAGATGGGGATAAAAGCTAAAAGAGGGTTAAAAAAAATGAAAGTATTCATAGCATACAGGCAGGTTACTTTACCAAGAGAGATCACTCCAATTTTTTCCTCATCTTATCTAAATCTCAAAAGTGACATTAATTGTTCTTTAGGGCTGCACTGCCTGTTTAATCTAAACAGGCTTAAATGTTGATGTCACGTCTCCCAGCTGCATTTAGATTTATGCTCTTCCAGGAATCTACAAATCTAGGTTTTGAACAACATGGTATGACCCAAGGGATGCTATCAAGCAACAGCTAGGAGGTTGCTTATTTTCTCTTTTGTTTTTGGAATGGCTTAATAGTTTGCCACCTTGTTGCTGAGCATGGGTTGTGCTGATGAGGCTCTGAGGAGAGATTTGAAGGCTAGGAAGTTTCTGGGCATAACACTACCAAATTAAAGGTTACCAATGGAGCACGTAAAAGGAAAGAGATTTATTTTTTTCACTAAGAAAAACCTTGCTTTGTGCTCCAGAAAAAAAAATAAAAGGCCAAATCCTCACTTATTTAGTCCCTTTCCAGGCAAAACTCCATTAATAAATTTTCTCCCAAAAAGATTTAGGGATTTGGCCCACGATTTCACGCAGAGGAGTTGACTGAGATTTATCTGGTTAGTTTTGAAAAATAAATAAAAGCTTGCTGTTACACATAGAAACGTGCACAAAATGATCAATTTTATAAGAGGAACATAAAGCACCTAGCACAATGAAACCCAGGCTAGATAAGGCCTTTATGTGCTACTGCAATATAAATGTTAAACAACAACATGCTCTACATTATTTTTTTCCTGCTTGAAATTTAAAAAAAGCTGCTCACCTGAATAACACTCTCTCTTGTTTGGAAGCTAAACTTTCCAATTTGATTGTCAATCTCCTGGATACTTAACATTAAACTAGATGGAATATATCTGAAAGAAAAGCAAAAATCATCCATGAAAGCAGAGAACACATCAGAGCCAGACTGAACGATAAGAAGATAAAACTGGAATTGCTGTGTTTTCTGTCTCTTTCCCCCTTTATATTTGGATTTTGCACAGGAATGAATTAACCTTTCTTCTTGAATCAGGAGTTTTTAAGTTATTAAAGATTTAAGGAATATTCAAGAAAGAAATAAAATATTCTGTAACATTTGCAGCTGAACTTGTGGAGAATCAATAGTTCTTCATAGGCAAGCAAAGGGTTGGCTTAAACTAGAGATAAAAAAATCTATTTGTCCAATTTGATCAAGTATCATTTAAAATATTGGTTCCTGACCTTTTGGGGAACATGAGCTGTCTACCAGACTGTGACATCAGCCATCCCAGATAGTGCCTGGCACTATCCACAAAATTCAATTAACCTGAAATGAAGATTCAGCTGGTTGCTTTTGTAAGATTTGTTTGGGGCTGGTCAGTCTTCCACATGGCTTGGAAGGGGATGTGAATAGTGGCTTATTGTTCAGAAAAGAAGGGGACTCTTAAGTTTGTACCCAGATACCAATGATTGGGAAGGAGGGATAGAAAGCACCCGTGCAGACTCTAGTAAGAAAATTGGACTTTCCTATATTACTTCTCTCTCCCCCATGGTCCCGTCCCCTACCACCCCCAATCTGTTTTTAAAAATATTTTATTTACCAACTTTGTAAAGGTGAAGCCAAATCAATTATAAAATGTTCAGGGCCAAACTGTTCCTGGTACCTGCCCACTTGTCAAAGGGAAAGAAAGGCAGTGCACAAGCAGCATCCTCCCATGCAGCAGCTAGGTTTGACTGAAGCTAGGAAGTGAAGCTGTTACTCAATGCATAGCAGGAAGGTGAGTTTTCTGCCATTTGTAGTCCTGCATATGCAAATTTTGGAAGGAGTAACTGTTTTTCAAGGTCCCATTTCTCTGTTTGTCTGTCCCCCAGTTTTCCTAGATTTGAGAGATCCCTCAGTTTAGTTCTGATGTCACGCATGTTGCGCACAGATTTGGTATTTTCCCACTTGTGTTCTTGAACATCTTCACATTAGGATTTACTCATGAAACTACGGTTATATTTTAGAAGGTTATTTAAAGCTCAAACACTGTACAATTTGCTTTCTTAAGTTCCTACATGACTGATTTGCATCTGTCCCTCAGGTAGGGTCTGTGAAGCCCTGCATTTGGACCTTAGCAGGCTGAGAGGTACGCTGGGTCATGATCTAGCTAGAAACACTTTGTCCCCTGAAATGTTGTGGTTTACCTGTCCACAGTACTGTCATCTTCCAGGAGAGCTGTAATGAACACCGGTAGGGGCTGGTCTGCTTTCTCCTTGTGAGATGCAAATTCAAAATGCACTGGCCTCAAGTGCAAATGGAACTCATCAAACCCCATTTCCCTTGCAAATACCTTGTAGAACCTAAAACAGATCGCAGAAGACTGATAGACTGGTATGCATTTAAAAATGTTGTCTAATGTTCCAAGCAGCGCACACCTAGGAATGTACACCTAGTACATACAATTTTATTAAAATACTTCCATTAAAACATAACATTTCTTAGCACCTTCCACTGTCATTATACATATACACATTCTGCACCTTGACAACCACTATCTACAAAGTAGAGGCAAAGGGAAATTTCAGCACCAAAAACAAAAGGCAAAGGAGATTTCTTACACAAGCTAATCTTGTAGAGTGTACTGTTGTGCTAGTGCAGTCAAGGACAGTGATATATATTGACCTTTGTGGGAGTGTGCTACAAAGGGAAACACAGGAAGGAGAAAGAATGTGCCAGGAGAAAAGAAAAGGTGGATAAAGAGGGATTTTAAAAAGAGTAATATGTAAAGGAGGAAAAAAACACACAGAAGAGAAGCAAATTCAGACTCTATCTGCTCTTCCTGCGCTATCCTCTCAAATGATATTCTTGTAACTGAATTGTCTCAACACATGCACTACAGGTTACTAAAGAACAAGCACCACAAGGCAATGAGCTCTGTGGAACAGCATATACAGCATATATACTTTTACGGGTTAATGGTTGATGAGTCATCACTAGTGGACTGAGAAGCAAATGAGCAAGAGGTAGTAAACATGGGAGGTCCCCAGAAGTCTGATTAAAGCACCAGTGCACAGTAAAAGAACCAAAAAATCTAGTTGCAATCAGTCCATTTTACACTGCAAAGCAAGGAGATGGATTGTTCGCCTTTTTGAAGTTTCAATCCAAACCCCAGCCTTCCACAGCAAATATTTTAATGAGCTGTGAGCTTTGTTACATCAAAACAAAATTCTAAATTAGCTCCTTAAAAAGTCATGTTCAGTGAACTATATCCACTTACAGTTGTTTTCAATTTACTCAAACAACATCACTTATCTGAAGATGATGTTCTATTTAATGGGCCTACACATGCAACCTAACTCCTTATTTTCTTTCAAAGCTTTTTATAAGATCTCCTTCAGTTGCACAATAATACCAATTCTCTACTGGTATTTTAGGGATTGCAACATTTCCCGTCTCATAGATGTTTAGGGTTTGTTTTTAGTAAACTGAGGAAGTTTCAGGTTAGGGTTTTTCAAACAATTTCCATTAAAACAAGCCTCAGTGGAAACTTGTCTTTGCTCTTTTCTTTTCTTCGGTGATGGTGCCTGATTAACTGAAAAAGTATTTTGGTTTTCAGCTGCTGAAAACCAAGTGTTCTTGGCTTTCTGACAAAAAAGCCTATATTTTCTACTGGGGGGAAGGAAAGAATCTCAACATTTTTTTTTAAACTCTGTCATAGGAACATAGAAAATTGGATTGGAAAGGACCCCTCCCTGAGCCATCAAGTCTAATCTCTGCTATTACAGGCAACCTCATACCATGATCCCAGTCTTAAACTGATCAAGCTCCATCATCAGTATTTTGCTTCCACATATACTGAGATGCTACTTCATACTCTCACCTTTCTGCTGGTTAGAAGCCTCTTTCTCATTCCCCAGTTACACTTCTACCAACAGTGTCTTTTAGCCTAAATAGTTCTCCTTCCCATCATGCATTTTAAAAGGTAGTACTATTCCCTTTAAACTTTCCTTTTTTCTAGGTAAAACAAGTTAAGCTCTTTTGGCTTGTCTTATACAAAATAGATGCTCCATTTTGCTGGATAATCTTCATCCCAGAATATTGAAATAACTGGCACATGAAATACCAATCTCCTTTATCACAGATTGTGAATAAATCAGTCAGATTGGGATGGTACCTTATTACTTAAAAGTGACAAAAAACTCCTATTTTCTTTAGAAAATAAGGGAGGGAATGACGCTAGTATTTAAGAACTTAAAATAGATATTGAAAGAAAGAACAATCAGGAAGTAAAAAAAGAACAGGATAAAACCTAACGTGGTTTTATCCAAGGAAGGTTCAAAGCAGTGAGTCTAATACTCTTATATGACAAGAAAATTGACCTCTTAAGACAAGAGCATTGCAGTGGACCTGATCTATCTAACGTACAGCCCACACACTAAATCCAGTCCACATAGCAATCGTACACTTAGGGACTAATAGCAAGAATTTTAGTTACAAGACGGGTGTTGTAGACTGGATGCAACAGAGGAAAAAGGGGACCTGGGTGTGCTGGCTGACTGTGGGATAACCAGTCCACAAGAAACCATGCAGTCAATACATTTCTAAAGCGTACTAGGCAGGTTATACTCAAGAGAGACAAGCAAGTGCCAATACCACAGAACAAAGCATTGCAAGACCCCATTTAGAATGCTGCATGAAGGTTTGAACAGTGATCAAAATGATGAATTTGAACTGGAATAAATACAAAGAAGAGCCACTAAGAAGGTTAAAGAAACTGAGAACCTTAGGGTGCATGTACATGAGCATAGAAGCTGCTCCAACACACTGTAATTACAGCACATGGGAGCATGGTAATTAACTACCACGCTCCAGCAGCCTCCTGTGTCTCATGTATCAGCATCTCCACACTTAAAAATGGTGGCAGGGGCACTTGAACTAAAGCTCATTGAACGAACTTTAGTTCAAGCATCCCCACTGCCATTTAAATGCAGGGATGCTGCTACATGAGATGCAGTGGCACTTTAATCAAAGCAGCTCTAGGAGCTGCTCTAATTAAAGCACCGCTCCCCCCACTCCCAGAGCATGTGTAAAAGTACCCTTGTAGTCCTTACAAGAAGGCATTAAAGAAACTTAGTTTAGTTTACCAAAATGAAGGTTGAGAGGGATTATAATACTATTTACAAACACAGTCATGAGGTGGATATCAGGAAAGGGGAGGAGGTATTTAACTTTCAAAACTAAATAACTACAAACTGGTTAAGAGCATGCTTAGATAGACATACTTTTCTAATTTTCAAACTGTTGTATGAGTACAGCTTTGGAATGGGCTTCCAAGCAAAGCAGTGGAGGCTTGGGAAATCTGTGGAGGGAATTCATAGTTTGTAAGGCCAGAAGGGACCTCGGAAGATCATCGGGTCCAGCACCCAGCAGGAAAGATAACTGGGGGGCAGGTGACCCCAGCAAGGTAACTGTCTAGTCTCCTCTTGAGGATTTCCAGGGTAGGTGATTGCACCAGCTCTGGAGGAAGCTTATTCTACAGTCTGGACACCCTGACTGTGAAGAAATTTTTCTCAAATGTTTAGCCTGAATCGATCTTCCAGGAGTTTGTGGTCATTACTCCTGGTTTTCCCCTTGGGTGCTCTGGTGAACAGTTCCTCACTGAGTCCTTAACATACTCCCCAAGTGTAGCAGTAAGCTGCTACCAAGTCCCCTCTCAGCCTTCT